ACATTATATTTTCCACTGTTTTTGAAGTAAACTCACTCTCTCTCTCTCTCTCTCTCGAATTGGCAATATTTGAGAAAAGGGTTTAGCGATTTATAATTATTGGGGGGACTAGCCCCCCTCAATGTCTATGGTGGTTATCGCCCTGATCAGACATGAAAATATGTTGTGGCACTATCATGCAGTCTGTAATGACCCAGCAAGCAATAGCCATCATTTCAACGTCTCTGTTATATGACGTTAGCAAATTTTAGCGATTTTTTGCAAACATTTCTTTGAGTAACTTGACAGTAATAATTTGTTTTATGTAAATATTTACGGTGTTAAAATCTTTATTAATGCCCAAAAATGCTTACATTTATGTGTCTTTATTCGCTCGCGCAGCCATGTTGCCGCTGTAGCCGGTTTATGCTGAGATAATTCATACCCCTTCGTTTGAAGTGTGGTCCTGAAAAATCTTCATTTGAAGGGCTATCTGGCCCTTCCCCTACCCCTACCCCTTCACGTGAACGTGCGAAATGGAGGTGTAGGGGAAAGGGGAAGGGTTAAAGGGTAGAATTGGGATTGGGCCTTAAAACGAAAAATGCCTTTATTTCAAAGAAAGAAAGCGCTCCAGTGACACAACTTTGTGCACTCCACATTACGCTGTGTCAAAAGGGATAAGTTGGACCACTGGATAAAATTCAAGAAATTAACACTTATATTCATCCTTAAATTGATTAAAAGTGACAGTAAAGTCATTTATAATATTACAATTTCTATTTCTATATCATGAGTCACTGAAGAGTTGAGTAATGGCTGCTAAGAATTCAGCTTTGCCATTACAGGAATAGATTACATTTTAAAATATACTAAAATTGAAATAAATGTAAACTTTTGCTGCACATTATTCATATTTTCATTTCACAGATGGATATATTAAAGGGGTGACACCCACTGACTCACTGTGGCCCACAGTTTATCCTAAATTTAGAAGAAAAAAAACACACACGTGTAAATTTACTGATGAATAATTTAAATATCTGCACAAGGTTAACGCACAAATTCGTTCACACACAAGGTTAGTGAAAGAGTCCCAAACTCATCATAATAAAAAAAACGTTCACTGAACATATTCCACAGTTGGGGGGACTAGCCCCCCTCAATGTCTATGGTGGTTATCGCCCTGATCAGACATGAAAATATGTTGTGGCACTATCATGCAGTCTGTAATGACCCAGCAAGCAATAGCCATCATTTCAACGTCTCTGTTATATGACGTTAGCAAATTTTAGCGATTTTTTGCAAACATTTCTTTGAGTAACTTGACAGTAATAATTTGTTTTATGTAAATATTTACGGTGTTAAAATCTTTATTAATGCCCAAAAATGCTTACATTTATGTGTCTTTATTCGCTCGCGCAGCCATGTTGCCGCTGTAGCCGGTTTATGCTGAGATAATTCATACCCCTTCGTTTGAAGTGTGGTCCTGAAAAATCTTCATTTGAAGGGCTATCTGGCCCTTCCCCTACCCCTACCCCTTCACGTGAACGTGCGAAATGGAGGTGTAGGGGAAAGGGGAAGGGTTAAAGGGTAGAATTGGGATTGGGCCTTAAAACGAAAAATGCCTTTATTTCAAAGAAAGAAAGCGCTCCAGTGACACAACTTTGTGCACTCCACATTACGCTGTGTCAAAAGGGATAAGTTGGACCACTGGATAAAATTCAAGAAATTAACACTTATATTCATCCTTAAATTGATTAAAAGTGACAGTAAAGTCATTTATAATATTACAATTTCTATTTCTATATCATGAGTCACTGAAGAGTTGAGTAATGGCTGCTAAGAATTCAGCTTTGCCATTACAGGAATAGATTACATTTTAAAATATACTAAAATTGAAATAAATGTAAACTTTTGCTGCACATTATTCATATTTTCATTTCACAGATGGATATATTAAAGGGGTGACACCCACTGACTCACTGTGGCCCACAGTTTATCCTAAATTTAGAAGAAAAAAAACACACACGTGTAAATTTACTGATGAATAATTTAAATATCTGCACAAGGTTAACGCACAAATTCGTTCACACACAAGGTTAGTGAAAGAGTCCCAAACTCATCATAATAAAAAAAACGTTCACTGAACATATTCCACAGACTTCTCCAGCTTTCTGGATATTTGCATGTCCCAGAATAGCTCATTTATTCAGAAGTGCTGAGAGAGGGCAGGGGAAGGGGCCAAGCAGCTGACCTGCCACAAAACTGAAACTGCCAGGAATGATCCTCAGATCCCATCCAACTAAACTCAAACACTGGACCCCACTAGAAAGAGTTCAGCAAGCGCTTAGGACCAATAAGCACACGGCACAGATGCGCGAACATCCAATCAGAGACCCGTACGAGCCCCGAACTGGGGCAGGCAGCGAGAGCATCACGGGTCACACGCAGCTGTGTGGATGTCCGGCCCAAAGCCACCAGAGCGACGGCCCGAACACATGGCCAGTGCTTCGCTGCCGGGCTGCCTGCACAATCTGAGGCCAGAAACTCAGTTACTTTGTTCTCGCTGCGTTTTTTCCCCCACCCCTCATGATAATGACGACCTGTCCCAGATTCTGTGGTTATGAGAAGAATCACATCAGTTGTATGTCAAAACACAATCACAATGCACTTGGCAGACGGCTCGCCAGAGAAATATATTTCTCAATTTGCCAACAATTGAATATTTTATGGTTTCGTAAAGAAACTTGTCTTTCATCCATTCTAATCCTGACCTCAAAATTGGGGTATTTTGGTTCCCAATCTATTTCTGCTGTTCTATAAGCCAGCTTCTGCATGGTTAAGTAGAGAATGTTAAGACAAGCCTTTTAAGCCCATTAGCCTTATAATTCATATGTCTTGGCAAATGCTATTCAGCGTAGTCCAAGATCTGCTAGCACTATCTTCCTGCTGGCTTGTTGGAGCGGGATAGAGAGGGAAAGAGAGTAAGAGAGGTGGGAGGAAGTGCAAGCTTTTCGCTCATGCTGAAGAGAGAGAGAAATTTAAAAGGAAAAGTATGCTCTAGCAGGCCGCCACATGTTGAAGAATTTGTTTACCGTTTCCTGTCCTGTGATCAACACGCAGTTCAAACGGACAACAGAGGAGATGCGGTGGGTGAAAAGGATTCTGATCTATTCTTGTGTTCCTAAGGGTCAACATACCTTTAAAGGGACAGCTCACCCCAAAACAAAAATTCTGACATCATTTACTCACCCTCATGTCATTCTGAATCCATCGGATACAAAAGGACATTTTTCACCATTAAATAACTTTAGAAAATGAGTCACTTTTATGGGTTATTCACACATAAAAAAAAAAAAAGCAAGGTATAGAGACAGGTTTTTCTAAAAGTTGAACTTCTTTTGAAACCTGAGGGTCATGTTTTTAAAATGGCATGAGTTTGTGAGACACTGCAAAAAAGATGCAATCGCAGCAATCAAACAAGTTTTTTCGTCCCTGTTCATTTTAATGCCATGGAAAAGAGCAGCTGGCACATCATTCAAAACTTCTCTTTTTGGGTTTCACATTTTTTAAAAATTGCATTTTGAAACTAAATGGGTGTAAGTGATTGAAAAAACAAAACTGAAAATGAAGTTCTGGCTTGTAGAAATTCCCCCTAGGAAGCACACAAAAACTATTTCTTGTTCTGTCTGCTTTGCTTTTCATTATTGAGTTACACTCAGTCAAACAGTCATGATTTTTTTTGAGTGTCAGTTCAGATGTGGCCTTAGGGATAAGGACCATACCTGGTCTATAAGACTGTCGTGCCAAAGTGATGTATTCACAAAACCAGTTAAGTGATAATCTGAAGAGCAATGTGAATTTATCTATCTGAATGATGGGAGTAAATGTGAGAGAGAGAGAGAGAGAGAGAGAGAGAGAGAGAGAGAGAGAGAGAGCGCATGCACAGTGATTTTTCTCTCCCTCCCTGCAATCGGAAACCAATCCCTGATTCTGTGTGGAGATATGGAGAAACTCTGCGACTAACACGGCCTAAAATAACTCTTACGGCAAGATATTTTCAACCAGTTTTTTTTTTTCTCCAATGGGAGTTTCTGTTGGAGTTCTGGTATTAAAAACAGCAACATCCAAGATCTAATGTCTGGTTTTGTACTTATCAGAGAGGAATTCATTCAGAATAAAGTCAGTGGGTTTTGAATGAAGAAACACAAATTCTCTCTTAAAAGAAACTCTTATAAGTGCCTGAGAAAGGATAAAAATGAGGGGGAAAAGACTCATTATGCAAATTATGAGGCAAGGCTTGGTGGGTAATAGCCAAAAGTCACTCCAAGTAAAGTGTTAATAAACGTTTGCCAAAAAGGGAACAGTCTCAGTGCATTCAACATGACCCCACTAAAAAGAAAAGCTTAATTCAATGACAAAGCAACAAAAATCATTGTAGATTTCCATCAGAATTCATAGGAACTTTTTCCCTTTTGCTTGTTGAGCCCTTGTCTTCCTATTACATTTCATTCCTATAATAAATTATAGAAATCACACCAGTTGATCATCTGACTACTTTATCACAACGTTTATGAATTTGTGAACACTGAAATCAATCACCAACGCATTAGAGCCAACACAGTAATATATGACTTACTCGAGCAAATTACTTCTCTCTCTTCTCCATACAAGTCAGCGTTAATTTTTCATTAGATTTATGTGTGAACTCAACAGCTGAATTGTATGGAGTTCACTGCGTTCTAATTTACACCATTAAAAGCCATTGAAATATTTTTAAAAAATCATACGTTTTCTGTGCAAGTCAAATTTGTGAGTGCAAAAAACTGTACATAGAACGCTATGACTATGGAAAGGGGAAAGATCGCAAGAGCGGGCTGAGAGAGAGGGAGAGATCGCGGAGCACCTTCCCGTAAACGCCGCTCAACAGCAGGCAGTCACGCGAGCAGCGGCACCGTGCGCGCTCATAACGAACACGAAAACACACAAGTTAAACTTCAATACGGTCTCAATCCACTCACCTAATGCTGTGTACGGCTTCGTCCACGTGTCTCGAAGGAAAACGACCCTCCGGGAGAGGTGAACAGTGTCGGGATGTTTTATTTGGGTTGATTTGCGCTGGTCTCTCACGGACGAGGTGAAATCCCTGGGCTGGTCACACACAAACAACAACGCCAGAGCAAATTACAAAAGGCAAAGACTTGGGGGAGGAGAAGTCAATTTGTTTCGTGTTCTAAACAATAGGCTCTGAGCCAAAAGTGGTTACCTTAGCGCCGATACTCGGTTGAGCAACGCAAATGTGTCAAAACTGGACCGTTTAAATCCAACACACTGGGTTTGGCTAAAGCGCTACATGCCGTTCAAAGCAGTTCGTGTCCACGCGCTCTACCTGAGGCGCATCGCGACACGACGTTTGCACTTCACGAGCTTTAGAATAGAGTTTCTCGTTCAGGTAATGTCAAATATCCCCGTCTAAACGCAGGCTGTAACTCATATCCCGTACGAAGACTGCATTTGGGATGTCTAAACGTGAGTGAGCGTTTAGGTCAGTTTTGACACACTTTGTTATTAATTCACAGTTGTCCTCAGCCGCTCTTGAACGCCTCTTTACTGGGGTCTAATCAGCGCGAGCCCCTCCACGTGCCTTATTTTAAGGCGCATACTCGGGGCGAGCACTTTAAAAATGTCAATAACCATCATGTCATCTTCCCTCGCGAGCGCCACTGGTTTGGCTACCTCTAATACTGGCTGAAATTACTGTCAGGAGGCGGGTAAATGCTTTATACCTGTGTGCCGGTGGCGCAGAGATGCGCACAGGTGTTCATCGCGCGCCTCGTGCAGTAGCAGTGTCCCACAAGCGCCCTGTTTGTTTGAATTCACCTGTCAAGTCACGCGCCGGGGCATCTCTATTACACAACACGCTTGTGTAGGCAAATGTTTTGAGCTGTACTTCAAATGTGTTTATATAAATATTCAAGTTTTCATATTTATAATTATTGAGAATTGATTTAATAGTAGGCTATACTGGCTCCATTTAAAAGGAAGCAAATCACAACAGCTATTTTCAGAATTAGCCATGCAGTCGGCGACAAATCTGCAGGTTTGATTCCTAAAATTAAATTTGCTACCGATTTGATTTCATCTATCCAAACAAACATCCGTGGATTATTTAATAAAGTCTGCATTTAATGCAATTTATTATTTGAGTGAAACATTACATTTCATGGAGCTTTTGCTCAGGTTTATTCAGTGATTAAAATGACACTTTTTTTAAAATTTCATTATCTTATTTAAGGAGTTAACAATGTGATTTTCGCCCTTTGTGGCTGACTTTTAACTACCTGGAACTGCTTACCTGAGTGTGTGTCAATTAGACGCTGTTTGAAGTAAGTTGCCATGTTTTGGCAGAAGTTTGGCTGGCGCCTCACGTACCCTACATATGCGCAGTTCTAAGCAGCAAAGGTGTGAATAGGCTTTTCACACATTTAGTAATAAATACATAGTATAAGTAAATATATCAGACAATTACGACTTTTTGTCAGACAATTATAACTCTTGTTATTTCAATGATAATACAGACTTTTGGTGTAATCGTGAGACCCACTTTGAAAACAAATCACCCTCAAATGAACTTGAACCCTGAACAGTTTAGCACGTAATGAAGAAGATTTTAAATCTGGATAAACGTTTATTGTGCGTAGGCTATTTTCTTGCAAATGTAAGGCCAATATTGGCATTTAAACAGACAAACGACTGGTTAACATGTGCCAACTGAAATGGCATTGATGTTTTTGTTCAGTGTTGTAAGACGATCAGGAAAGTCAAGGTTTAAAAAAGAAAGCAAGCATAACTGAGGTATTTCTGTTATGTTGTGGGCTTCTCAAAACAAGAATGAGACTGCTTCTAGGCATAGCATTAGTTCAGAGCAATTATTTAGGGTGAATGCAGCACAAGTCAAATAGGAAAACCGTATACAAGTTCAATTATAGCAGGATATTAAAAAAAAATGCTTAATCTTTACAAAGTAGTCTTTTGATAAGTGGGAAATACCAAAAATTATAGCATTTTGAATTTTGTCTTGCACCGTTAATAAGCCATATCTAATCTGCTGCATATTATATTTTATGATACATGCATGTGTATTTATAACATAACATGTAAGACATGTAGGTACAGCATGTAAATCACATTGAGCGGCTTCAGAGGATATTTTTACACAGACTCCAGTGCTCAGAAATAGTCATAACTGACCTCTAGCGGTGGATAAGCTTTATTGCAGGCAGGTAGTGAATTGTTCATTGACAGTCAAACTGCAGGACTCGAACTCTCTTTCTCATGCAGTCACGTATAGCTCATTGCCACGTCGGAAACACGGATCCGTCTGTTCTATTCCAAGCAAAAGAATGAAGGAAACCGTTTAAAAAGACTCGCAAAGTTATGCATCCTGTGTCCTGTTCAAGCCGAACCATATCAGCGCTTTCCATCCGAGAAACTGCCCAGAACTAATCCTTCAATTTCTTGCAGTCATTGACACTCTCGATTAACTGTTCAGATTCATTTGACTTTCTCATGTGACATGCTGTAATAAACTATGCTACTTTACCTTACTTAAAGCCATCAATTGTTATAAATAATAATAATAATAAAAAAATAAAAAACCGCATGGTGTTATTTAACTTTTTTTTTAATACATCAAACAAAATAAATAAAAACAAAACTCATTTGCATAATAAAAGTATGATCATAAATTTGTAGGGGGAAAAAAATTTTCTCCAGTTTTATGTAGGTCTATTAATGCATATTAAGTTCTCACTCTCAGAGAAAAAGAAAAAATGTTAACTGGATTACCATATTCAGTTACAATATATTCTAACATTTTATTTTAATATATTATAACATTTAATTGTGCAGTAAAATACTGTGGGGAAGACAAAAGTATAAATTAATGAATTAGTTTAAAATTGTAAAAGAAAATGTCTATTTAACAGAGCAATGTGCATACTTTTACAGTAAAATATTGTTCAAATGAATTGAGTAAAAATTATGAATTGCCTAATTTATTATCAGTCGTTACATTACAGTAATAGCTCAAATAGTTTGGTACATTAACATGACAGTCATTAAAATTGTAAAAAAAAAATTCCTGTAAAGTTTTTCCTAGCCACAACAGCTGCCAAATTTTTTCTATTATTGTAAATAAGTTACATTGTAAGACAATTCATCAGTGAGGAGATCAATTCATGAAAGATAGTCAAGATAGTCAGCTGTCATTAAATGCATTTGATGATATTTTCCATAATAAATCTGCTCATGGTGTCACTGTTTATTTTAATATATTATAACATTTAATTGTGCAGTAAAATACTGTGGGGAAGACAAAAGTATAAATTAATGAATTAGTTTAAAATTGTAAAAGAAAATGTCTATTTAACAGAGCAATGTGCATACTTTTACAGTAAAATATTGTTCAAATGAATTTTGAGTAAAAATTATGAATTGCCTAATTTATTATCAGTCGTTACATTACAGTAATAGCTCAAATAGTTTGGTACATTAACATGACAGTCATTAAAATTGTAACATTTTTTTTCCTGTAAAGTTTTTCCTAGCCACAACAGCTGCCAAATGTTTTCTATTATTGTAAATAAGTTACATTGTAAGACAATTCATCAGTGAGGAGATCAATTCATGAAAGATAGTCAAGATAGTCAGCTGTCATTAAATGCATTTGATGATATTTTCCATAATAAATCTGCTCATGGTGTCACTGAACGGCTTTATTAAAATGAAACAACCATCCCAGCACAAAGGCAGCCAATTCAGGTTCTCCTAGTAAGCGAATTCAGGAAATGAACAATATTTGTCTCACATTGTTATAAATGCCCTTGCTGCAATGTTCATTTTGGGGGTTCATTATTGGATTCTCCATATTATTTGTTGTAGTTTAAAGTCTTGCGAGTTTTGGGACCCCCATTTGTCTTCACAGAAGATAAGATGGGAATTTGGTAATCTTCCAGTCTGCTTTTCTTCTATATCTAAATAGCCTATCTGTCTTATAGGCACAGTGATTAATGCTGAAGGGATTTAGAGAGGAGGATACAAATGCAGACAGTCTCTCATCAGCCCATATCAAACAGCCTGGGAGATGTTTAATATATGGGTGTATTTGGTCTCCAGCTTACAGCTGTCTGCTTAAAGCTTTATTACTAAAGAATCATTTGGAGGGGGGAGAAAGCATCTCTTGATAGAGTGAGTGACTAATAACTAAAGCCGACAGCGAGCGCAAAAACGCGCTTTCTCTCTCGTGCACATACAGGGCAAGTGACAAGACCGCTCTGTGAGCACAACAGAGAAGTCAAAATGTGACATATTCTTGCTGGCGGAGGGATAAAACTCAATCAACCTAAACAGTCTTCCCTCAGACAAAATTACACACGCACACATGCAACACACACAAGTGCATGCAAACTTAAGGTGAACAGAGCCACAACAATCCCACATTTTCTCATGCAGTGTCCGGTATTTAGCTACGACTGTCGTTCACAGCTTAGGAATTAACTATTAATGCCGTGCAAAAAGCGAATGCCACCACTAAAACGATACCTCACCTCTCCAGGTAAAACAGCAGCCCCACAACCCTGTGTGCTGCATTAGGGAGCAGCAGAGACAGAGAGACAGATTGTGTGAGAGTTGTGTCTAATCCCCATAAGCATCAAGGCAGCAGCTGCCGTGTACAGAAAGAGGGGCCTGGGGGGGGGGGTTTGCAGTTTGCAAAAGAGATACACACTCTTCTCCAACATGTAGTCCTGTTGTGAACATACAGAAGAGACCAAAAGTCTGAGAAACCTAGTGAAAATGCTTATTTCAAATTTATTATAATAAGAACACATTTCCTAAAGTCTGAGAGTGCTTGTTATTTTAAATTGAATGAAGTTGTTTTATTACAACTAATATTATTCTTATTTTTATTCTTACTCTTATAGTCCAAAAAGTCTGAGAGTGCAAGGAAAATGCTTCTTTTAAATTTAATAAAGTTGTTTTGTTTATTACAAATAACAAATTACAATTGTCCCTACAAAAGCCTGAGTGCTATTAAAAAATTCAAAAATAAAACTTGGGTTAAACTTTATTTTAAGGTGTCCTTTTTATAATGTAATTATATATTTAAGTATTAATTAACCACATGTATTTACTATATGGTTAGGGTTTGGTTTAGGGTTACTTGCATGTAATTATGCATATTTTAGTTATTATAATAGTAAGTACATGCAACATGTGTAACAAGGACACCTTAAAATAACGTGTTACCAAAACTTGTTTTATAAAAACAAAGGTGTTTAATTCATTACTGTTTGTATACGTCGCTGTTAAGGTCAACCTGTTGACACTTCTAGATATCTTATATGTTATACATTTTATTGTTTTATTTATTTATATTTATTTATTTATTAGAAAAACCGCCCTACAAATGGTCCTGTTCAAGATCTGTTATGCTGCTTCTCCAGTAGAATAATCATAATAATAACAATAAGTTCTAGGAAACTTCTAATCATTCAGACTAATAAAGAAAGAAAAAAAAAAAAACTAAATATGAAAAGTGAACTAGATAAATAAAATGAATAAACAAAAAATCTTAAGAAAAGAACATCATATGGTTTCATATGATATGAAATTCACATTTCATATATATCATAATTCTTTTAGATTTTTCAAAATCCTGACACCTTCTGCTTCCAAGTTTAGATAAAATTTTTAAATTGTTTTTAAAAACGATTTTCAATGTGATTTCAGGCTTTTAGAACCCACTCTATGTTATGTGATCTCGCCTTGACCACAAAATTGCTACACATTGAGAAC